AGCCATTTTAGTACCTTTAAAGTACTTTTTGTGCGATGGTGATAGGACATATTTATATACAAGGTGTCCTCGACTTACGACAGAATTCCGTTCCTACGATGGCGCCGTAACCCGAATTTCGTAACACACCTAAATAAAGTACATATACGTACGCACATACACAACGAAGTCGTTCACATATACTAATGCAGTATGTATACATGTATCAAAGTCATAATCTCAAATATAAAAAGGCACTTCTATGTCGTACATGAAAACATAGCTAGGGCTAAAGGAACACATGAAAGACAAACTGCAATTACTCTACATGATTTCGAAACGTAAGTCGAGACCGTCGTAAACCCAGGACCTACCTATGTTCAGTAGCACACATTCCAGGACCTTCAGAATCACAGAAGTCAATGCTATTGGCCGGTAATAACTCAGTATAGATAAGTCTTTATTCTTATCATTCATTATTGGAATAATAATAGTTTTAGTTAGATTGTCTGGTTCAAAGGAATGATTTAAATATGACGTAAATAGTAGACTTAACAGGACGTGCAGGATCGGATGAGCACGCACTGAATGCTGCGGTGACAGCCCGTCATGACACGGACTGCTCGACTGTTGAAGAGTGTTATTGCTGTCCTGACGTCATTTACAGTGACAAAGACACATTGATGTGACCTTTCATGACCTGTTACGTCAGATACCTCAGGATTTGTAAAGTAATTAAACAATGTACTGTAATGTGACCTCCACAACTCAGCTATGTTGTCAGCACCAGCAACCCTCTATATTGTCGGGGATTGCACCATAACCTTTCTTCTTGTTAATCTCTTGATAAAGTTTTTTTTCCCGAGTTGCCATTTAAGTACAACGCACATTTATTTGCAATGATAGTAAATTTGTACTTTCTACACCACTAATCTACACCGTAACTAAGTAAAACACATGTTACGTTAAAGTAGGCCATACCTGGGCCTCCTATAGTCCTGCCAAGTGAGATAAGCTTCTCGAGTCTTTCTATTCACGTGATTTTTCTAGCCAGGAACATGTACATAATTGGTGCCACCGTGTGCGGACTATGCGTCTCCCAATACCTGCAATGCTATCACAATACTCTGGCTGAGTTTATCAACAGCTGAGTAAACCATAGGGACTGAAAGACATCTCATAGCTAGCTCGATCACAGCCAGATACCGCATTCAAGTAACCCAGAACAATGCAGATATCTTGCCGAGGACACCTGTCTGACAGATGCAAGTTTGGTGTAGAATATCTCCCACATCGAGTTTACAAACAACAGTAGGAGCGTACACAGCAATAAAAGACATAAAGCCAAGTGCTAGCTTCAGTCTCAATACCTTTATACGCTCATCAAATAGAGCAACCTCTACTACCGAGGGCTGGAATCTGCCGGAGATAGCTATGGCTACTCCCTAAAGATGTAGACCATTGCTGCGGCCTAACCAGTAATAGATGTTACCACCTACACTAATTGTGCTGCTGCCAGGTCCTCTTACCTCCGAGAGAGCAGCCAACTCAACTCACAGCCTTCCCAATTCTCTCGACCGTAGTGGCAACTGATCATCCTAACGTAAAGAATGGCCCTTCCACCCTGATGTCCCACTTCGGGCAGTCACACTGGGTGGATGTCACTTTTGCCACCCCTGCCGTTGTTGCAGCATACAAAGGGGTGCGGCAGGCTATGGGACCCAAAATCCAGCTGTGGGGTTCCCATTGGGATTTGCCCCACATGCTTCACACTGGGTTGGCGGCTGCAAGAATGCAGGTGGGTTGAGTAGCTCCCTTTTCCATCCTGTGCCCCAGCAGTCGCCCTTCCAACTGGGCCCACAGGCTGCCTCACTTGCTGGTTGGGAGGGGCATTTCCCCTCTGCCCAGCATTTCCATTCATGTTAAACTTTGCCGAAGGGTTATATCTGAGGGGAGGAGGACTGGCAAGGCCCACCTCCCCTTAGCCTCACATTTACCCCAGGAGTTGGTACAAAGCTAGGGCGTGTCCACACACTGATGGGCCATGGCCCTGTAACTCTCGGGCCTCCTACTGCTTGTTTCCATGGGTGGCCACGAGGAGACACTGCAGAAGTCTCGATGATGGAGAGGCTATGAACTGGAAGGGGAGGCTTATGCAGCGTTGCCCCTTTTTCGCACTAGGCTACCCAGCGGTGGCAGCTGTAAGCGAGAAGGCATGTAAGCGCTTTATACTACCTAGGCTACCACACCATTACTTCACGTCACTCTGGGCGTGGAGCACCCACCACATATTTCATACTATTTGATATCTAGTGGAGAGACATTAGTGGGGGAAGATCCTTATACCAAAGAAAAATGATAGAAGTCTATGATCTGAACCCACCAGGACACGGTGATGGTGAAGTTGCTGAATCAATGTATCACGTACCACCATGTGATCCAGCCACCTAGTATGTCCTGTGGCATCCCTGACCCAAGTGTAGATTTCTCCCGGCATCAGCTCTTTATCATTCAAACTATAACAGTATTGTCTGTAAAACTGCTGTAGTTCCTGACCAAATACTGACCCCGGGTGAGCAATGAAATCACCAAGTGATAGCATATTGTTTCTATGGTGATCCATCAAAACGTAGATTTCTGCTACACTATCAATTTTTGTACCATCATTATAAGGTACGTAGCAGTTGATGAGACAAATGGAACTAAAACCCAGGATAATAGCAATGCATAATAGGTTAGCGTCGTGTGTCTCGATGCTGTGAATATGAGAAGGTAGACCTTTCTTATATAAATATGCCAGACCACCATATGGTCTGCCTACAGTAAGCTGCTTCCTGTAATCTATAGGAGAACATGGAAGAAAAACCCACAATGCACAAACTAGATTTATTGATGTGTTTGGGCATTGTGGGTGGTTTTTCTTCCATATTATCAACACGGTATTGTGTTTTTCATTGCATAGGAGAACATGCATAAAAAGAATGGGTTTTCGATAAAAAAAATGAGGAAAGTTGACTCCTGAACTGAGAGCCACGTTTCTTAAAGGCATACGACCACGATTCTTTAAAAATTCTCTTATAC